CAGAGGGATCAAAACCCCCGAGTTTTACACATTATACACTACTATAAAAGGGCTTCATGAGCCAATGCTGTTTTCCATTTCTGCTTTAGCATTCACCAGGGATATTAGAAGTTAAGGGCACCTGGTGGGGTTTTATTTAGCATTACTAAGCAATTACAGTCTTATGCATTTCACAACAATAGAACATATTTCTTAGTAATATAAGGCAAGTAATGATGATCGACTGTGTTTTATGGCTAAAAGAATGAAAACAAAGTCAGCTTAAAAATTGGCTAATGCTTTGCCTGAGGTCATTAAGTAAAGGAACAGCATATCCAAAAATAAGTGTTTGACTTTTAACTCTTAACTATTTAAAAAATCAGTCTTCGTAACTTTTCAAAATCCCAGAACTGTAATTTATTCTACTCTGTAATACTTCCCAGGACACCCAAACTCCAAAGCATTCTGTAACTCTGTGTCATATTAAGGATTTGCAGCAAGAAGAATATATATTTCTCTAGTGAGTGTTATCTTACCTGTGATATATTCACAGAGCTAAGAATCAAAACATGATTTTACTGTTGTCTCAAGCCCTTCCCAAATCTTTTATCAAGGAATGAATTGAGCCGGTTTTAAGCTTTAAATCATTCTTCTTCACTAGAATTTAGTAGATGGTTCCTAGTGAAGAATTACACTGTGTAAAAAAAAGAATGATATCTAATAAATCCAAATAGCTATCCAATAATTGTTCCAGTACAATTCCCAAGAAACCAGATAAGTAGGGAAATTTTCCAAAGCTGGGTTATTTTTGTATATAAATCCAGCAAAAGTCCTGACATATTATATTCATCTTCATGTACTAACATAATTTATGCAATTTTGAACTCAAATCCACACTTTACTCCAATCACTTTTCAATACAACCATCTCCGGATGGTTCGTGAACATATGATATTAGACATATTAAATGTAGATTTGTGTCATCATCAATATTCACTGGTGTCTAATATGTGTCAGAAGCTGTGTCGATGAACAAAATAGTCCCTGAGCCCTCGGAGCTTATTTCTATCTGGAAGAGGAGGTATACAGTTATCTAAATTATCCTTATACGTGCTTCCAAGGATAACACTTTGAGAACACAGAGCATAGCTACAATAGTCAATGGGCTCAGAAAAGATATCTTTGAGGAAGTGACATTTAAGCTCAGGCCAAAATGAAGACTAGGAGTTGGCCATGAAAATACGGCAGAAGATGCAGGCAGCCCAAAGACCCAGGAAGGTCCATGGGCTGGGGACACAATGAGACAAGAGCAGAATGAAGAGCTACCAAGAAGAAATGGAGGCAACAATTTAGAGTCTAAAAAAATCAACAAAGATCAAAACATCATACTGTGCATCTTAAATATGCAAAATTTCATTAAAAAAAATTTAAAGGACAACGGGAAGCCAATGAAAGATCTTCCAGAAGAGGAAGAAGTGATCAGATTAGCCAGTGAGATCATTCTAGCTACTCTGTCAAACATAGAAATGGAGGATGCAGAAGATGAAACATGGAAAGAACTAGTTTGTAGGTGATTACAGTGGTCCATGTGTTTAAAGATAATTTTTCCAAAAGGTAAAGTCATGACTTCCAGACAAGTAGAATATTAGCCTATTAGCCTCTATCAAAGACTTTTATTTAGCTCGTTAGCCAATGAGGAACCCTATAAAATGTTACAACCAGCTCAAAGCAGAACTCAAAGAACCACATATTTACATGTAAAAAAGGAAAACTGAAAAAAATTTATAAAAGATGCAAACACTGGTCTCTACAAAGGGCAATAATCAACAGCATTTTGATTAATTTGCATTTTATGGATATGACTCATTTGCATTATTTTCAACAACTTACAGAACTGTAGAGCAGCTCCAAAGGAAAGACAAAGATAACCAGACGGCTGGCTAGGTACGCTAGTGTTTTTTACCCATTTTTAAGTCTTCCACAAATTTTCCTAACACAGATAATAGTGACTTGGAAAAGGAAGATATCAGTAAGGATAGAGAGAAGTGAATAATGTGTGTGTGTGTGTGTGTGTGTGTGTGTGTTTGGATTTAACAAGACTTGGTATTTAACACTTGGGATGGGGAGGGTTAATGCCCAGAGAGAAGTCTGCTTTAAAATGAATTCCTACATGGCAGAAGACGCCATCAATTCCTGTTTCACAGCCCAGGAAAGCAGCAGACCCATGGAGTAATTATTGTGGTGGTTAGGATGGAGTGTCAACTTGGCTGGCTTTGAGATTCACCCAAGGGATTGGGGGAGCATATTTCTGGGTCTGGATGGGGCATGTAGGCATGGGCTTGGGGTCTAGGTCTGGTCCCTTGGTCCTTCCACTTTGGCATTCTTCCTCACCTGGCTTCCCAGTGTGATGAACTAAACATCTTTGCTCCATCACACCCTTACACCATGATTTTTACTCCCAGGAGCCAGCTGACCATGGAATGAAACCCCTAAAAATGTGAGCTAAATTAAATTTCTCCTCCTTTAAATTGTGGGTGTCAGGTTTTGTGTCTCAACAATGGGAAGGTTGACTAAAACAATTATCTTTTAAAGTCCAGCATGATAGAGCAAAAGATAGGCTAAAAAAGAAATGAAACAAAACTAATTTCCTTCAACAGGACTTTTTTTCTTGTCCTAGCCTCTGGATTGCCTAGTGACATCATGCAAAATTAGAACCTTTTCCCAAGCTCAGCAAAGGCCAGATTACATAGAAGTCTACGGTAATGTTCCAGTCTAGAAACTTTTTGTGTCCTCTCTTATTGACACCAGTGTGCAGCAGCAGCCCAACGTGTAGACTGAAAATAGTCAGAGGGAAGAACAAAGCAATGTGGAGAAAGTTTCATGTCACTATCATGAGCCCTCTGTCTTATTAGATCCAAATTCTCATAATTTCTTAGATAAATTCATTCTAGACTTTGATTTCTTACTGGGAGTGATCTGGAAAGACAATTTTCAAAGTCATCCTGCTTTTGATACATTTTCTTCAAACAAAACAAGGTTTTAGCTTCTATGTCAGATTAAAGAATGAGAATATTTCTAAACATGATAGCAGTTGCTAGATATTTTCTACTCTCTTGGCCAGAATCCTAAGCATCCTGGGACAAATAATTTACATGAGGATAAAACCACATTTATATGATAAAATAATACATACACTATAAATGCACAACTTAAATAGTAAATTCATTTAATAAACTATCATGGTTCTACTGGACTATGGGTTATTTGTGTCTCTGAGGATATCAATGACCCACCATAATATTACAACATTTGTTTTCAGTATTTTCTCAGTTGTCATCTCTATTATCCTACACATGCCCTTCTGTGTTCATTGAAATGTCTACTTCTCTCCATTTAAAAAGATGGGTACAAAAGTAATTCACCCAGTTTCAAATGTTTCCTCAACATGTCTACTAAGAAAACAATGCTTTCAAATTCATCATCAGAATGAATTCTAAAGCAGGTCTTCCTTAATGAATAAATTAAGCTGCTAAAAACTATACCTGCTTCACTTGTTCTATGTAGAAAATGACCATGTTATATACAATAACAACCAGGATGGATAATCCTACCCACAGGAGTAGTCATAAGACCACTACCACAAACTCCTCATAGCCAGCCTCTCAGTTCCTAAAACTTAGTTGTTCAGAATACAGTCACAAGCAGATACAAAAGTTCTGAATAATGTTAAGTCCAAAACACACATTGCTCTGCCTCTACAATAAAGCAACTTAAAATGTATCCCCAAAATCACTGCCTATGTTTTGGAATAATCCTCTATATAACACAAACACCTCTATATTTTTATTCTCTACAGTCTTAACTCATCTGTCAGAGTCAGTTTTCATATTCCTTACATTCTCAGAGGTAAGATAAAATGTCCCTCAACAAAACCCAGGAAACACTGCTATCCATTAATCAAATATAAATATTGGGATGTGGAGCGATGTTTTATAAAAGAGGGGGGGGTCTCACTATTTTTCCCAGGCTATTCCTGAATTTATGGGCTAAAGTGAGCCTCCTGCCTTGGGTCCCTGTGTGGCTGCTACTATAGGTATGCTCTACTGCCCTCAGCTTAAGGGATATGGCCAATATTTAAAATTTTGCCGCTACTTAAGGTAACAGTAAAACATCCTCATTTTTTCCTCAAAGAAATAGCCATGTATATTTTCCTGACCTTTACAGCTTTCCTAACCAGAAAGTTAAAAACACAAATATTAAAGTAGCTTTCATACTATTTAAAGACCACAATGGTGTTTCTTCAAGAAATCTTTATTTTTCATCTTACTGTCATAGTTCTATAATCTATGAACCTGAAGACTCCTTCCATCCTTGACCTCGGTGACAAAATTCTGACTTCTATACCGATGGAAAATCATATTTGAAACACATCTGAAAAAACCACTGACAGTTCCTCACTTCAGCCCTTAAAAAATATTGATCAAAGCATTGATTATGTTCTAAGTGGTTAAAAATGCTGAGGAAGAACAGATCTTTGGGGTAAAAATGAGGAAGAATGCAAGACGAGAACCCAAAGCGTTCATATAAACATTAGCCACATCCATGGAATGAAAAATTATAAACATGGTTGCACAGGATAGAAAGGCTGCCTGGATAGTAATTTGACTTTAACTAGGCAAAGTTAAATAATCATCTTTTTTAGCTAAGTGAACGCAAAATTTTCCCAATGATACATTCATTTCCTAAATGTACCCAGGATTCACAGAATCAAAAGTAACAAACTTTTGGCTTGGGTATGTGAAGAAAGTCAAGTAAAAATAAAAAGCATCACATAAATTTCACATCAGAATTTTCATTTAAACAGGTTTTCAAAGGAAATAGAAAAATAAATGCATGTTCGTATTCTGGTGTTTTCTATTAGGTTGCACTGCTGGGAGATCCTGGCTGCACCCCCCAACCAAACTCCACCAACCAAAGCAAAGCATGCAAATCATCAGAAAGTCCTGGAAAGTCTTGGTTACCTTTGAAAATCGAGTGTTTATCCATTTGGTAAAGGTTTTCTTCTGCACATCATTGTGTTCATCTGTGAGAAGGAAAGCAGAGGGAAGGGTATGAGCATTTGTATCATTAGTAAGTGTACTAAGCTCATCCCCATCCTGGGGACTTTAAAATAGTCCTGTCACCATGGTGCTTGGCCAAGGAAGAATTTTCTGACCCATTATTGCCAGAGCCTGCTATAGCCTGGAATTGAGAAGACCCAGGCACCTGGTCCGGGGGACCTGGCTGCCTCTTCCTAAGACCAGCTAAAACCCAAGACTTGAGGATAAAATCATGACCTCACTTTCTATTACACATAATACTTCCTGTTCCATTTTAAGTAAAATGTCAAACCATTTAGCATGTTCAAAATAAAAAATCAAAGTTATCCTGTAAAAACTAAGTATTTAATAAGTTTCTCCACTTTTCATCAGGTCTTATTCACTCCATAACAAAAAGGAGTCTATAGTTGACTGCTCTGTAACCTATTTTTCTACAGAAAGACTGACATAAGGTCATAATGACAGCCTCTATATAAGCATTTTATAGGTAGAGAAATCAGAAGAGTACAAAAACATTATGGACAAGCTGGGTGTGGTGGTACATGCCTGCAGTCCTAGCATTCAGATGGCTAAGGCAGGAGAATCATGAGTTCAAGGCCAGCCTGGGATAAATAGTGATGTCCAGGCCAACCTGGACTACACAGTGAGGTCAGTATCTCAAAAACAAAAAAGTCAACAGACAAAAACATTATCACCTCTGGTTTTGATTACAAATCATCGTCCAAGTCATAGCAAATGAAAATTGACCTCTAAGAGCTAAAGAACAATGACCTTAAAACTGAGCAAAATGAAGATATTCGGTAAAAGAAGGCCATGTGGGACAACAAAAAGGTCAAATGGCCTTGAACCAAACAGACCCAGGGTTCCTGGTCTGCTTAGTATGTGACCATGGGTAAGTAGATCATCGTAATGTCTCCCAGACTTACAGTTCTCACCTATCAAGTGGAAGTAAATATCACCTAGCGAGTGAGGAACATAAAGACAGGTGAAAAGCATCTGACAGAGAGGTGGTCTTCAGCTCATTATTGCTATAGTTATGATAGTATGAGTTAAACAAGGCAGATAAACAGATGCGTATTTGACTATTTGTTACCTTCAAATGACCCTCTCCAGCCACTAGTTTTCTAGTAAAAATCAGCAAGAGTCATTGGTGCCTTAAAGCCTACAAAGCTGCAGTTAACAATCTCTAGAGGCTGTGAAAGCTGCCTCAGGAATCTGTGGAACAGTGAGAAATCTATGGATCCATCATGAATATGTACCATCTGCTCCACTACCACCCATACCGCCAGGCTGCTCCCACCTCGTGAGAGCCAAACAACAGAGGGGCTCATGGGCTCTGCCTCTGGACACCCATTCCCATTCCCATAAATACAGATAGTCTTGCCCATCTCTGGGAGGACCGTCAGATATTCACCCGTGACATCATCAGTGCTCCAGCTTGGGTGTTGAATGACCCCCGACGATCCATGCGTTAGAATCTTAGTACCCAGGTTGGTGCTATGGAGGGCAGGTGGGGCCCTGCAGGAGTCCTTAGGTCACTGGGGATCTGCCCTCCAAGGGGATCTTGGGGACTCCACTTCCCCTTAGCTCTCTCAGCCATGAAGCAAGCACTTCACTCCTCCCTTCACCCCTTGGTATACCTTCTGGCCCTTAACTAGAGACTCAACACCACGGGCCCACTCAGTCATGGACTGGAACTTTCAAAGCTGCAGGCTTAAATAAATGAATTTTTCTTATAAGTTAATAATCTCAGGCATTTCGGTACAGTGGTAGAGAGCTGGATAACTTATCAAATTTGCAATAACTGTTCTTTCTTCTCTTCTGAAAGGGGTTTGCAATGAAAAGGTCGTGTCTGGAATAAATACAACAGCAGCTCGAGAAGAGTGTGCTTTTACAGATCCATAATGGTAACTGGAGACCAACCCCAAGACTCAAGGGGAACAACTGATACAGAAAATGACACTGCTCTCTAAGAAACTGCCTGGTGTTAATGGTGCTGCCAGGTGGTGACCTTCTGCCTGAAAAGGACAACGAAGACAGCATCAGCCCTTATTGAAGCCTTTATCCTTTATCCGATCAATGGGATACATAACCCATTTATTGACCAGGAGACCTTGCGCACACACTGAGGGTCAGGTCTTTACCCTCTGATCCACAAGGGACAGAGCGGAGACTGCATCAGGAACAAGAGACTATTCCACACATTAACCTGCAGAGGATGCTACGCCCGACTCACTAAAATGAATTTAAATAAACTTCTGTCTTTCCGGGCACTTGGAAAATCCAATTATTTTTCCCAGTACCTTAAAAAGAATTTATTTTTGTCATCTCTGTTATTCTTCAATCCTATGGATAAAAGAGCAGAAATTGTCTTAATTTCATAATCTTCATGCTATTTAAGAATTTTTTGGCCACAGAAATGGGCAAAATTCTAAGGAATCAGTACATCTACATTTTATTTTTCTTAACTTCTTTTCAAGGCATTTAACTTTTGTATTTCAACAATATATTAAAACATCTATTGCTATGTAGAATTCTTTTTGTGAGGCATGGGTAAACTAAGTATCTAAACTTTATTAAATGATAAAATCTTCATGTCATCACATATACAATGAAATCAAATTTTAAAATAGATCTGCTCCTATACAGAAACATTTATAAAGATTAATAAGGTAATGTTTCTAAAGTAGTCTGGAATCTTTGAGTCAAATCAATGTCTAAGTGAGTCTTAAGTTACTGATGAAATTCAGTATTCGCCTGTAAAAGATAACTGGTCTAATATTCAAATGGTTCAAAAAGGTCTCGAAATTTATAAAAATTCTTCTGTGTTCATTTTCCCGATACAGCTAAACAGAAAAAAGAAACGTTCATACTTCAATAAGCCTTTAGTTTGCATTTCTCTTTCACACACTCCTCTTAATATCTAAAGACAGGAATTAAATAAAAAGGCAAGAATTAGCCTGTGGCTTTTCAATTATGAGATTAAAAATGTAACACATTTGGAACAGATACTAGTATGGAACTGACTTCCACATTAAGACAATTATGGTAGAGAACCTTGACCTAAGCCTCTCTCTCCAGGAGATTAGCAAAAACAGACAACCAAACTAAGAGCAGAACAACCAAAAGTCTGTCCTGATAGCCTGATCAATCCTTTTGTCTTCCTAGAAATTTACACAGAACTTAAACAGTCTCCAACTATGACAATTCAATCCAATGTGTTATTATTATCAAGGCAATTAGGTATTTTAATTCCTCCAGTGTAAAAAATGTGTAAGTACACAGTACCTCACAGGTAGCTACGTTATTTGTGTACGCATTAAATCAATAAGTATAATTTATATTTCAAATCTACCTCCTCTAAACATATTCTTTCAGGTTTCCAAACTGAAACACGTGTTTTCTGTAGATCTGGATTTTAGAAAACCATTTTATTTCTCAAAACTTTTCCTGGCTTAGCGAATTTTATCCACCAGTGATCTTTCTATATTAGGAGACAAACACGGGACAGAATTAGGAGAAGAAAAAAACGTGTTAAACCCCTTTAGGCTGCTTTTCCAAATTCTTCCTCTACATAGTTTTCTTAAAACGCCTCTGACATGCTCACACAGACCCGGGCGTCACTGTTGCCCAGCCTGGAGCTTCACTGCTATGATCAGTACAAGGAGGAAAGCAAGAAACAGCAACAAAACTGCTGATATATCTTCAAGAAAACCAGTTTGCAAACATCCTTCTTTCACCAGCTCAAAATGCACATCAAAAATTCTCTTAGTAAAACTTAGCAATAAATCTGAATTTAAATCCTACCCTAGAAACATAGAAGGAAAATTAGGCCCACGTACAACACCACTAAATTTACTACGATTTGAGAAAAAGAATTATATCCTCTGGCACATTTTTAGAAGCAATCTTAATGTCCAATTGACTGGTCCTAACCTAATTACGAGTTCCATAAAATGCAGCTATTCAAAAAAGAAGTGCCCGGACTTCAAGCCAAGACAGAAAAGTCTTACTGGATGATTTAAAACTTGGATTGACTTTATTAAAGCCTCTTTCACAAATACTAAACTTAACATACCCTTGAAAGTCAAGATCATTTCAGAAGTAATAAAAGCATTTCAGAGCAGACACCCACCTGATCTGGGCACTACATGTGAATCACCCCCATGTACAGCTATTCCTAAGACTTCACTACTCTGTCATTCCACTTTCTTGTTTCTGTACACCCAAACTGTCGGTGTCTGGACAAAACCAGTGCATTTATTCAAATAATATGTATTATAATGGCATATGGAAATAATCACTATTATATAATGATCCATTAAATATACATACGTAGACAAATAGCCAACAGGAGACAGACTGCTTCCAAGCAGAATGCTTTGACTCCCTAAATTTGTTTCAAAATTTGACATTATCCGAGAACTCAAAACAGAAAAATCCTAAAATTAAAAATGCGGTTTTCAAAATTATCAAAACTATCTGGGAGTATAAGAAGTTTTCATAATGAATACTTCAAATAATGTTTATGTAAGTTTGCCATGTTTAAACATTGACATTGTTTAAGCTCAAGGCTGCATTTAAAACAGATTTATGCACCACATTGTAAAAAGCAAATCCCAGGGCCAGGGATTTAGCTCAGTGGTTCTGCCACCTGCCTCACAAGTGCAAGGACCTGAGTTCGATCCCCAGTACCAAAAAAAAAAGCAAAACCCATGTTAAGGATCTCTTTGAGAGATGTATGGACCAAGTGGCAAGGTTGTGTTCAATGAACTTCAAAGTAACAGGGGTGAAAAAGAGTTTCATGAACCAAAGGAGCCTTCGAAATATATCTTTAAAGGACAGATAAAGTCTGCTTCGTACCAAGATGGGATGAAGGGTGTTCTAGACAGAAAAATGCTGATCAATACCCTCCTCCTTTGAGCCTCAGACCCAAGTCCTGACCAGAAAAGAGAATGTTCATACCACCATGAATCTGCATGAA